GGAGTAAAGAAAGGAAAAAAGAAAGATGAAAACGAAGAAATGAAAACCAGAAGGGACGCTGGAGGCATCAAAGATGAAGGGATGCAAATGAAAGAGAAAAATGAAAAGGAAGAAGATGAACAGTCATATGCTACCAGGTGTCGCGATTGGCCAGGCAAAGGAGATGACGAGGGGTCCGCCTGTAGCTCCTCGCGATGAATGAAAGCGAGGTAGTCATCACCCAACAAGACAACCAAGGAACATGGAACACGTTTTCCAGTTCTCCGCCGAAAGAGAGACGGTTCCGACCTGGTCCACAAACAGAATGCCACGTGGCCTTTTGCGAGTGAATCTGACGCCTATGCAGGTCAGATGCATCCGCCAAGTCACCAGCACGAGTTTGTATTTGTGAGCCCATTCGACCCGCCGGTAGCGTATTCATCAGCCGCCGCCGTCGCGATGGCAGCTACCGATGGGCTTGACATCGTCCCCTGCTTCGGCGAATGGTTTTGTTTCCCTTTCAGTTCAGACCATCGCTCGATTTATGTGTCATCCTTGACCACCGGGGGGATGCATGCTAATCAGTCGACTCCGTTATTGTTCCGAAGGAGTTAGCCTGATAATTGTTTTCGAAATTCGAATCGGCTAATGGGTTTTTTGAATCGGCTAAACCACAGCACCGCGCCCAGCTACTGTAGCGCTGAAAGGCTGCTGTCCCGTGACGGTTGCCCAATCCCGCCGGGGGCCGGGTCCCACATGCATCCTGTAGTTGGACCATTGCTCGATTTATGAGTGTCATCCTTGCGCAAGGGGCATGCTAATCTTCTCTGTATCGTTCCAATTTTAACGGACATCGCGACATCCTATAGTTGTGGCAAACTGCACGGGAAAAGTTATAAATGTGCCCCGCGTCCCGCCGGGGGCCGGGTCCCACATGCATAGATGAATAGATAGATGAAACCAACCAGGTGTCGTGGACTTTACATATCACAGCAAAAAACACACGATGTCGCCGACAAAAAAGACTATCAGCGCTCAGCCCTTCTGTCCTGCTGCTCAGGCCAAGAGGAGAATGAACTCCCAAATCCCTACTTTTATCCAAGCTACTTTCTACTCAAAATCCACTCAGCCAGGTACTCCTGAAATTACCGTTGGCGACAAGAGCCGCCGGTACGGTTTTTTCACCGAGAACCCCCCAGTCGAAACTGCGAAAATCTTTTCCCAGTAAGTACTCATTATCCAGATTAAATTGAAAAAAACTCAAAAAAAAAAAATTCAAAAATCTAAAGAACGAAATCTCGACCCTTGCTACGCATACCGGGGCCTTATCATATTACTTTTTGTTCAGTCCTTTGCTCATGAGGCCCAGACCGTCTTGTTGGCCTCCTACAAACCCATCCTCAGAGAACCCCCCCCCCCTCCCCCCTCCCTACAGTTCAATCCTCGATCCAATTAATCAACATTTTTATCATACCAAAGGAGAGCCGAATGTCTTTTCTCTTCAACATCTTCCTCAATCCGGTTTCGAACAATTCAACCGGGTACCTAATCACCTTCATCTCCTTCAAAAAAGTTACCAAGCTCCACCATAGTGAGAATTTGGTATTTGTGTTGTCGAAAATCCGGCAAATAACACTCGAAATCGTCCCGTACTTTTGGATCAACGGGGCGTAGGAATCAAAACTCCTTAAAGTTCTGAAGTGGCCTTCTCTTCCCTTCCAGATATTCGCCAAATTCTTGAACTTCTGGAAGCTATAGATCCAGGCCGGGGTGTTAGTGACAATCAACCTTGTTTCCAAAAATTCCACAATACCCTTCCCTGGGTCTGTTCTTTCCAATACCAGATCTTGGTGGTAGCACCCCTTGATCCTATCCAGGATCTGCTCAATATGCTCAAGTCCATTCCTGTCCATCCCACTGTACCAGCCAATTAGCAGAACGTCATCAATAAACCGATTTCCATCAATATACCTGGCATCTTTTCCCAAACTCCCAACAAACTGTTGCTCAGCATACATGCACAACACATTCGCGAGCGGTGGGCTAGCTCTCCCTCCCATCGGAATGCCAATGTCTTGCCTTAGGATTTCTGCCATCGAGTAGAAGACGGTGTTCCCCAACTGAAACTTTGTTAGTCTCAATAGATCCGATAGTCGCAGCGATTTCCAGCCTGCCTCCCCGTGGGATTTCCCAAACGTTGCCTTTTTTCCTTTTTTCTTGATCCGAATCCACGAATGCCCTTTATCTCTGAAAAAACTCGTCAACCAATCAACTGCCTTCAAAATCTCATCATGCGGCAGTCTTGTGAACATTTCTTTGACGTCGTAAGTCCTTATGACAATTCTGGCATCCAAGCCAAACGTCTTATAGGCCAGCTCATTTGCCCCTCGTATCCTCTCCTGCAGATGCTTAGCYCCGTTGAGATYGAAGTGTCTTMYCCTTACTCTYTTTATAAGGAAATTCAAACTCTGAGCCAGTATCCCCATGGCCTCTCGCGCAGGGTTCAAGAAAGAGGGTACTATAGGCCGTTTCTTGTTTACATCTTTATCCTTAGATATGATGTATGCTTGTTGTAATCTTCCATTGTTATCCCAATTTGCAATCTTCCCAAGCTTTTGTTCCATATACTGATTCTTCGCTTCCTTCAAGATTTCTTTTTTTGTTCCTTCCATCTTCTTGTAATTTGTATTGTCATTGTACATTGTCTTCATGCCTTCTTCATACAAAATGGGACACTCCACAAGGGTTGCACCAGGGTTTCTATCCAGTGGTGAGAGAACCAATCCTTTTAGAGCTTGTTCCAATCCAATGACGTACTCAGTGTCACACCCCACTAGATGTGCAGTTCCTTTTACACAAATATCTTTCCAATTCAAATGAATTTTCTCTACCTGATTTACACAGCCCATCTTCTTTAGAGGCTCCATCGCGAGATTGCATGCTTGATTTACTTCCCTGGTTGTTAGCAAACTACCACGATAGGGTACATTTTTTGCATTCAGCACAAAATCCCGTATCCCCTCAATTTCATCCAATCGGACTCGAACATGCCCGTTGTGTTTTGGCATGTCAAAAGCTTTGCAAGTGCAGGGCCACCCGCTACCTCTTGCAAAGCGCTGATGATTATGCAGGATGTCACCGATAGACTTCCGATTCTGCCAAACGGTTTTCATCCTGCCAATCAACAAGTCTGATAGACAAGCTGGGGAGATCTTCCCTTTCAAATCTTCCTTCACACAAGCATGCACCTTCTTCTTGCTCACTGCGTCACAAAAGGGCAATTGGACCACAATCCGATGCTTTGGATTAATCCCATACACCTTCTTAGTCACCCTTGTGATAATGCCCCTTGTAATTTGCCTCCCTCTCGTAAAATTTAGAAGTTTAATTCCCGCATTTAATTCTATTAATTCTTCTAATTTCTTTTTATACAAAGCCTTCCTCTTCCAAGGGGCTCTTAGGATAGTGATCACATCGGCCTTGGTCATTTCTGATTTGTTACCAATTGGGTTATAACCCATTCTCCACCCATCTGAATGAACGACTTCACATCTTTCAACATAAATTTCTTTCCTAAGATCTCAATGGAACTGCACCCATATATTAATCGCACTAACCCCCATTGCATAAGCCATTGGTTCCCTTTGCAATTCGAGAGTCTGGGCCTATTCACATTCCCCACTTTCTTCAGTATCTTTAGGATACTTGGTTCCCCTTTAATATGAAGTTGCTCACAATCAAACAAAATAGCATTTTTGCAGGCCACGAGACTTTTTTCATTTTTCCGCTGTTTCCTGGGCTTTCTCCTGGAGGGTTCATTCCTGTTTTTTCTCATGTTCAAACCCGGGTTCAAATTCCGGATGATGAAATCCTCCATGTCCCCCAGTGAATTTTTTGTTCTGAACCAAATCGGCAGAGCTACGTAGTTATCAGCCCCAACTTTCCCCAACCACCGGTGTAGCTTCTGCTTTGGTTTGGTGTCAGCCACCCTCACATGTTCCCGCCATCTCGTCTACAGATCCCCTTCTGTTTTTCCCACGTAGGTGTGCTTAAAGAAATGAGAAATTAAAAAATATACACAGTTACTCCCATTTAGTTACTCCTAATAGAAGTGCTTAAAGAAATGAGGGTAGCTACGAACTTTGGTTTGGAGGAACTAAGGATACTACGGGCGGAGAAAGAAATGAGGGAATTAAGAGAGAATTCTAGTTCAGAGAAGAGGGAATTAAATGGTTTGAGTTCGTAGCTACCCATTTCTTCATATCATCCTCCTTCCCTTCTTTGACACTTCTATTCTTCCCTTTGTCCTTGCCGGACCTTCTACTCCTTTCACTCCTCTCGCTATCTTTTGAGGTCTCCTTTTTCTTCTCTGACCCCATCCCAAACCCTTTTAGTCTTGCAATTTCTTCAAGATCCTTCTTACGGGCTTCCTCAACGGCGTCCTTTAACTTCAGTTTCTCAATGAAATCCGCGTGTTCACGTGTAAAGAAAGCCCGAGGTTGGGAACCCCTGGTCCCTCTGCCATATCCCTGGTTAAACTGTCCACCGGAATGCACCGGTGCAGAGGATACTCCAGCCAGCTGCCACTGCACCCCCGGCTGAGCGCCCACGAAGTTCGGTGGAATAGAGTACCCATACGGATTCAGCGCCGCTCCAAAAGGCGGGAGGAATGGATTTACAGGCTGTTGATAGGGAGTAGATCCTCCAAGGAACGGAGCCATTGGTGGTTGGACCGGTGGAGGGGGAGGAGGTGGTTCCTCCATCCAGTACCTCCCGCAGTTTGACCACCTGCCTCTCCCGCGGCCTCTCCCACGCGTGTACATACGCCAAGTTTCCCAAGACTTTATCAAGATGTAAGTCTTCACTCAAAACCCGATAGTAATACCAAACGCAAACGACCCGTCCCTCCCTCTAAGTAAGGCTGCCCATAGTCACGTGTTCCCACGCGCACCGTCAATCCTCACGCAATCTAAGATGCAACACCTCAACGGTTACCATGATAATAATAAGAAATCACTCCGTTAATACTGCACGAAGTTCCATTTCCCGAAACAACCGTCATGCGCTCTAAGTAAGACTACCCTTATGTTACGCGTTTTTAGGAATCACCATCCCCCACACTCATCGTGCGAACATGCTCGCCACGCCCAAGCTCGGACAGTGTCGTGATGAAGTGGATCGAAGCGGAGAAGGACAGCCAGTACTCAAACCTCCCCGCCCCCGCGCACTTTACCAACCTGGCAAGAGCCAAGGTACTATCAACACACCTTACGCAATCCAAGATTCAACGAAACAACCGTGAAAATTACCAGAAAACAACCCCTTATTGCTGCCTAAAGTACCATTATTGTTGATGGTGGCAGACAGAAATCGCCGTCACGCGCCCAATGAAGGTTGCCCCTTGTCTTCGCGATAACGGGAAGACGCAACGTCACAACACTCCCCGTGCACCGTCGGCTGCTCCTACGTCCCTCGTTCCCCCCGCGCAACGTCAGAGCTAACCATTAGAAACACTTAACGTTACTACCGACGGAGTGATAATGCCATCTCATGAGATAGACGTAGCACACGCCCCCTGCATAGGTGGCATTCGACTCATCACCATAGTAAGCGGCGATCGATTAACAACCCTCCGCTCCGTTCACCCGCATCGCCCAGGGGTCCGCCTGAAGGTAAATCCAATCCTTCGTTGTAGACGTGGTCCCCAGAACTGAACGCAAAGTAGAATGAGCTCGACCCTTGTAGGAGTAGCAAAGGTTGAGATTCATAGCAAGAAAGAAAACGAAGAAGAGAAAAGAAGGAAAGAAAAGAAGAAAAGAAAATATGAAAACACAGAAAACATACGAAAATGACAATGCAAGCACATCAGATACACCGACGGCGCTGCTAGATCGTTTCCCAAGCTGTACTGCGAGGTTGATCATGCAACTCATTAGCATAGATGAAACCAACCAGGTGTCGTGGACTTTACATATCACAGCAAAAAACACCCGATGTCGCCAACAAAAAAGACTATCAGCGCTCAACCCTTCTGTCCTGCTGCTCAGGCCAAGAGGAGAATGAACTCCCGAATCCCTACTTTTATCCAAGCTACTTTCTACTCAAAATCCACTCAGCCAGGTACTCCTGAAATTACCGTTGGTGACAAGCGCCGCCGGTACGGTTTTTTCACGGAGAACCCCCCAGTCGAAACTGCGAAAATCTTTTCCCAGTAAGTACTTAGTATCCAGATTAAATTGAAAAAACCTATAAAAAAAAAATTCAAAAATCTAAGGAACGAAATCTCGACCCTTGCTATGCATACGGGGGCCTTCTCATATTACTTTTTGTTCAGTCCTTTGCTCATGAGGCCCAGACCCACATGCATCATGTAGTTGGACCATTTCTCGATTTATGCGTGTCATCCTTGCGACAACTGTTGAAATACAGACTCAAGTTCAAATCCGGATAATACTATTGGATGAAGAGAATAGAGTCATTTTGAATGACCTTGGGCCGGTCACTCCAGTCATGATATCTCAAGTTGTCTGAGTGTCGTTATCAACAATGATAATTTGACATTCATGAATCACGCCACACAGATGCATCAACCAGTGAGAAGAAGAAGAAGAAGAAAGAAGAAAAAGACGAAGAAAAAGAAAAAGAGGAGGAGAGAGCGGTGACACAGAAGATGGCCGCAAGGCTTATAGAAAAAAAATCCTGAATGCTAAGAATCGCTCCAAAAAAATAAGCATGCAGGTGTTCGCAGCCCGTCAGGGGTGCGTTTTATGCCTCTGAGACATTTTTTCGTCGCCGTCCTTTTCCTTCGTTATATCGGTCGTTCATTCGGGCCCATTGGTAGTTGAAAGGCTGGTAAAATGAAAGGCACAGGCATTTAGGGGGGAGCGGCAGTTCAAGCAAGTGCAGGACCGGTAGCTGCCCGTGGCATTAGGGCCTTGATTTTCGAATTGTCTACCGCGTGGGCGCGGGGAACGCAGCCCTAAGGTAGCCAAATCAATGAGACTAAGAGCTAACACGAGAGAGAGAGAGAGAGAGAGAGAGAGAG